CAAGGCGGCTCGTCGACATCCTCATCCTCGACGGCTGGAGATCCCACAGCATCTTCAGTCTCGAAGACATCAAGAGCCATGCTAACAACAACGATCAGGACGTCACACTCCGTCACGCCCACTTCATCTACAGCAACTGCAGTGCCTTTGTATGGACAATGGTTAGTCATATTGCCCAGCCTTCATACTGACACTGCTGATGCCACATTACCAGCGGAGGAATTGGGTATGATGGACTCAAAGCCTGTGAATCGGGAACATGCACCTCTTACAATCCCTATTACTCACAGGTAAGAGCTTGTTCCTTTGTTATGCAAAGAAATGCTTATGAGAATTTTATAATCAGTGTGTACCAAACTAGACATGCAGCAGCCGATTGATTAAAGGCCAACAGAAGGGCATCGGGTCATCGGATGAGAGCAAAAGGTTTTGACGCCTGGGATGGGACAATCAGCTGTCGCGATAGATTTATATCAACGTTATAAACGAGCGAATATGTGTCGCTTCGCAATCTGATTTCTTCAATCTAAGGAACATTTACATATCGTGGATGTTAGGCCAGCACCAGGAACTTCAGCTCGCAGGAGTCATGAAAATGTGCCCTCGAAAAGAGCACATGCAAGAGTTGCGTACGAAATGGTGGAGACTCATTGTTGCTGTTCAAGGCGGCCAATGCCGTGTCAAAAGGAAACATGTGCCTGGCCCTCTTCCGCAGCTTATTACCCCCGAACGTGACTTCATAACGCCGCTGATTGGTGCGCCCTCGCAAACTGCCGACGGGGCGCCCATGCATCGGCAGATGCAGCTGAAATAGGCAGTTGACTTGATTTGCGGGACATGCATCCCAGCTGATAACGTTAGGTTTTACACCCAACTCCAGCTAATTCCCCTTGCAGGCAGGTCGTGTCCTTATCGCATTGCGGCATTGGACATAATCTTGAGAAGAGTGTTGCAACGCATCGTGCTAAACACAACACCGACAGTGGCGTCCGTCTGAGAGGAGAGGCATGGCACGTTGTTGGGTCAAAAAAGCTTGCCAAGCGGCGCCGAGCCGGACATCGTAACCTTCTTGAGTCTCGGTAGAACTTGTGAATGGACTGGTGCTATCACGTTTGCCAGTGGATTCAATTGAGGGACGGATATAAATACAGACAATTTATTCCTTATTTTTCATTAAAACCTATCTTGGCTAAGTTCTATCAAGCTACCTTTCACAGAACATAGAGACAGTCAAGCCAGAGCAGTCATCATGAGGTGGATTACAGCTTCGGTGGTGTTGAGCGTGGCGACTATCGCTCTTGCCGCACCGGCACCTATGCCAACTCCGGTACGAAATCAGAACTATGATAAACTATACCCGCTGACTGGTTTTGGTTTATAACTAGCCTGGTATTCCATCTGCATCGTCAGCAAAAACACTCCTTGCTGGCTTGACAGTCAAGACTGCCGGAGATGGATCTGGATACTCCAGAGATCTCTTCAATACGTGGATTACCATCTCAGGAACCTGTAACACAAGGTATGGCTGATCAAAATCTACTCCTTGTAGCTTCTCGTTAACAGTCAGCCTAGGGAATATGTTTTAAAGCGCGATGGCACAAATGTTGTAACTGATTCGGCTTGTGTCGCAACTTCCGGGACATGGCTAAGTCCCTACGATGGTGCTAGCTGGACTGCTGCCTCCGATGTGGATATTGATCACATGGTCCCTCTCAAAAATGCATGGATTGTAAGTCAAGAGATATTTATCCGACACATGCATTGCAATCGCTAAATGATACCCAGTCTGGTGCATCGTCATGGACAGCGGCCCAGCGAGAGGCATTTGCCAATGATGTCTCAAGGCCTCAGCTTTGGGCTGTCACTGACAATGTGAACAGTTCGAAAGGCGACAAGAGTCCTGATTCATGGAAACCGCCATTGTCTTCATTCTATTGTACATATGCTAAAAGTTGGGTGCAAGTCAAGAGTTATTACTCTCTCACAATTACCTCCGCAGAAAAAACTGCTTTGACCAGCATGCTCAACACCTGTTGATTTAGGAAGTCATAGCATGCGATATTTACTTGATCGCACCTTTTATATATGTCAGTAATCAAGCTTGATTGGTTTGGACGAACTGAACAAGTTGGCGCCAATCTCAGGGCACAGTGATCATGAAAACAACCCACGCCTCAAAAATAAATTTGGTGAATTTCCACGTCCAACCTTCGTGAATTGTTCAATTCTGAAAGTGGCATGAAGTTTACTCGACGAACGCAATTGTATCAGGTGAACGGGATGAAGCTGTTTCTCTCCGTCATGGCTTCAACTGCTTCACCACCCGTGGAAACAGCGCAATAACCCCGTGAATCTCTCAAAGTATCACGTCAATCCTCTATAGCAAATCCATTGTAGAATTAAACCCTTCGAGATGAGATTAGACTCCTAGTAACCAAGGAAACAAATGCAATCGCCAGTCTCTAGGTCGCCTCGGAGAATAGCAGGCCACTTATCAATGGGCTGCTAATGCGACATCCTTTACAGACAGACTAACAAGGTCTAGGACGCATTGACCAGGGTATATGAGAAGGGGATGGAATACGGGCCGATGCAGCAGCTTTCTAGTCAGAGAACCTACCTGCGGAAGCGTCAGCTCCGAGGTCACTGGCAATTTCCCCGGTTATGAGAAGACGGTGTCCCAGGGAAACGGTCCTCCATAATTTAGCTGCTACAATTGTATCTGTTGAACATGAAATAAATAACTAGGTATGAATAACCAGGGGTGGCATTGAACGGGGTGCATGAAATCTTGCCTAACGATGCGCATCCCTTCGGAGCAGTCGTGCAGTCAAATTGGGAAACTTGAGGCACGCCGCAGATATTACGTATCCGCGAACCATCAGTCCGGTCTGGAATAAGTTTAGCTTTTCACACACGTCAGATGATTCGCGAAATGAATATTTCAAGAGAATAATAAGGCTCCTTTCATGTCATGGGTTTGAGCATCACAGTCTTAGTGCTCTTGTGTACAGGCCACTTTGTCTGCCTTTCACGAAGATTTCCACGGGCGAGGCTTAACGCGCCGGACCGCGGTCATCAACTTCTCTTGTGACCATGTTTCTTGCGACCGCATTCTTTCTGCATTGGCTATCATTGGCTGCAAATGCTCAGACAACAGCTGGGCCATATGGACAATGTAAGGCCTTTTAATGTCTAGCTCCCCATACGGCCTCTAACTAATATTTATTCCAGGTGGCGGCAGTGATTACAATGGACCAACTGCTTGTGGCTCGGAATATATCTGCACTAGTTACAAGTAAGGTCGAGAGTCAATTCTCTGAAACGTAGATATTAATTCATGCTGGCAGTCCGTATTATTATCAATGCTATCCTGGTGTCGCCGGAACTACCTCGACGACCAGTCGCACAACGCGCTCATCTAGCTTGATAACACCCACAACGACAAGTCCCACAAGCAGCACAACTATCACCACTTCAGGAGGATCAGGGTCTCCTCCTACAAGCCTGCAATCTGGATGGTATTGGATTCGTGCAGTCGAATCTCCGTACTTCCACAGTTATTTGCAAACAAAGCCAACCGGCACCCCTGGTGATGCGCTAATGGACTCTTACACCAGTGCTGGGCAATTCAATATTATCAATGGTCAACTTGTTTACAATCTAGGAGAAGCAGGCAAATTATACATGATTGTTGAGGATCCAGTCGACAAAACCCAACGTGCTTTACAGACATGGTTTAATGCTACCCAGAACACATATGGTAGTTTCGCTTTCTCGGGAGATACTGTGACTTGGACAGACCCAGATGTTCAGAGGCCAAACACAGCTGCTTTCTACGTTTGTGGAAACAATGAACTTTATATCAATACCGGTGCATATCTATACCAAACTCCAGACGGCTGCTGGGACGTTGATGTAAGTCATCGGTGAATTGCTTCCATGTAGTCAATCAAACCGGTAGTTGTGCTAATATTCTACATCTGCATAGATTCACTACTATGGCGGGTCTACAGCAAATCTCTAAGTCTTTTAAGACAGCATGCAGTCCAGATTTTGTGGTCAGTCCAAAGGTATAAAATTCGCGTTTCATAAGACACAGTCAACTGTAACCTTAAACCTCTTGATTATGGACCCTTAATTAGGTCGCATGAGTAAGATATTGAGAATTCTCGTCCATCGTCCTTGAATCATACAGAAATTCCTTCCTGCTGAATATGTTGAAATATTGAATGAAGCGATGTCACTCTTCGTGGAACATGTGAATGCTGAGTGGGGGCTGGGCACATCGTACACTCAAAAAGTCAATGAGCACAAAAGCTTATGTTCTCAAAACCCCTATAACCTGTCTTCAGATCACTGGACAAGACCTTCTCCCCCAACGCAAGATGTAAACTGGAAGTATTGTTCAGGTTGACAGATATGATACTCATTCGTTGTCCTTTGCTGCGTCTTTCGTTCTGACCTTCTCCAACCTGATCTCAAGAACTGATTGATGAGATCGCCTACCCAGGTGCGGCATTATGAGGGTCACAAACAGCATGCTCTGTCCTGATTGTAACAACCTGTAATGTTTGACCTCTGATGAGACTCGTACGATACCCAAGTCAACCATAACAACATTGAAGAACTTCAACACTGGCAAGGGGATATTGCGTCGACACATCGTGACGCAACAGCATCACGCAAGCATGGCAAACATGTCCATTGAACCGGTGTCTCGATGCGATTGGGCGGTATTTCTCTAGCTATTCACGTCGAGCAAATATTGATCCAAGAACGTAACGCCAACTCAATGTCACGCACTGAGTCGCAAATGACGAAACCAAAGTGGCCAAATCGTATATATCGTAGTCCATTGTATTGCCATGCGTGGCATCACGAAGAGTATATAGACATAGAAATTGCTCTCTAATTTCAAATGAAGAGTCTTCCCTTTTGTCCGCTTCCGTTTTAGGAGTAAGTAGAAATGTCTTGAACAGACGCCTCGTCGAATTACTTTAAACACTGATGGTTTTAAAGATACTGAACTCCTCACCAGTCGCAACCAATGTACCGGGTATTTGTGAATGCCAATGGACCTCTTTGGCATGCTTGTGATAATGGACAAAAAGCAACTGTGGTGGAACATCCTGCACGCCAGCGGTATCTTTGCTCTCCTCATCGTCTAGCTCCACTGCCAAGTCCCACAGCGTGACGGTATTGTCACCCGCGGCCACTGCCACGATGCTGTCATCTGTCGGGTGCCATTCGACACTAGTAATTTGTTCCTTGTGATAATTAAAGCTTGCGATGGGGGTAGATTTTGTAGACTTTGATGAGCTCGGTTTCCACTGCCGAAGATCCCATACCCCCCAGACACCATCGTCAGCCCCTGATGCCAAAAGATGTGTTGTCTGCCTGCTCCAGTTCATGACGTTGACATCGGTATCGCTGACCTGCATGGTGAGGGCGGGCGTCCGGCTCTTACTTCTAACATCCCAAATGCGGATCGTGCCGTCGCTGGATGCCGATGCGAACACAGACGCTTCAGACGGGCTCCATTGAATCTCCTCGACGCTGCTCGCATGCCCTTGGAAGGGCCTCGTATCGGTGACCCACCCTCCACCATCGGTACGGGTAGTGACGTAGATCAGTCCATCATTATCGCCAGTGAGAAGTTTGCCCGCGGGGAAGAGAGGCGACCAATCGACGGCATATCCTTCTGACTTGTGTGCCCGAATGGTCGAGAGAGGCCTATTCTGCTTTTCAGTGATCACAGCGCCTGGAGTGTCAAAGGCGGCGAGGTGAGGCGTGACATCATGAATGAACACGTTAGAGGACTCGGTCATTGTGGCAGTGACTGTGGTGGGTGGTCGCGAGGGGTCTTGCGAAGGGGTTTGGTGTGCGCGTATGCGATTTGTGGTTGATGTCAGGGGTATTGACTTGGACTCGAGGATCGGCTCGGCATCTTCATCTTCATTTTCGTCGTCGTCGCTTGACTCGTCCCCGCCATCGTCCCTTTCCATCCGGCCAAGCCCACTGAATTTCATGACCATGAGAGCATTCTCCTTCGCGCGCAGATTCTCGGCCTGTGTGCCAGCCACCGTGTACATGGTCGCAGGATATACCTTGCGTGTGTCGCCAAGGTTGTCGTGGACAATGTCGAAGGAAAGACACGGCCACGGGGTGCTCAGACTGTGCAGCATCTCGTAGGTACTCGGGTCGGGTGCAAGTGTCTGTCCGGGTTCAAGCTTCGTGCGGCCGACGATGAACGTGCCAGGGCCACTGTCGACATCCATGGCACCACCTAATGGACCTGTTAGCTACTTTCTATTCATTTATAGACCACAACGTCAAGAAGCCAGGCCCAGAACTACTGGCGTGTCTGTCTCTCTCTCTCTTTCTCTCTCCAGTGTGTATGTGCGCGTGTGTTATGCAAGGACTGTCGCGAGATCTTGGGGGGGGTTCAGGATGCCTTACCAGCCCTCTCCTCTGCCTCGCGCTCGGCGTCCGGCCTGCCGTCGACGCCTGCCTCAAGGATCTCATCATCGCTCTCGAACTCGTCCTCAAATTCGTCCTCGAACTCGCCTATATCCTCTCTTGCCTGGTCGTCAACATCCATCGCATCGGGACGGCCACCGCTTTTGAGCGGCCCATTGCCGTCATCGGCGTCTGCCGTACGTTTGGACATGATGGTAGGTCTACGATGCTGCCAATAGAAGGCTGTCGGCGGCGATGGCGTTCTCAGATCGTCGATAAGTTGCTACAGTTTTTCTCTTCTTTTGGTGTTTTTTTATTTTTATTTTTTTGGCCCCTCTTCCTACCTAGGTATAGTTGATAGCGATAAGAAATCGAACCCCGCAGTGTGGCTGGTGCCAGCAATAGAGTTGAGCCTGTGTGGCGCGGCGTTCTTATTGAACAGTGGCGGGAGCGACTAGTCTGTTTCCGGACGCTCAGTCCCTGTCCAGGCATCCCGGCCCAGGTACCTCAGGTACTTGATATGAAAGGTGATTTTGTCAGTCAAGCTGCAACACTGTTGGCAGAGAACGAAAAACTTGTTGTTCCCCTTTTCCCCATGCTCCCACGGTAAGCACATGGATGATAAAGCACAGCGAGCAGCGGCATGTTATGACTACAACCAGACGCGCGGTAATGCCTGCGGGCGGTTCCGCTTCCACTTGCAGCAACGGAGTCCAGCGCTCCGAGGGTCGAGGACTCAGAACCAAGGCTTGAGAGGCTCGAGAGAGGGGAATTGAGGCAAGCTGTGCCGATCATTTCGGACAGAGTTGCAGTATGACTTGTGACATATGTTTTCTCCCAGAGCCTTGAACTGCCTCTTACTCAGACAAGAGTCATCCGAGGCTCCGTTTCGCTCAGCCAGACCTTGCTTGTCTCACTTCTCCTGAGTGCTCCCTTTGATGGGCGAGTGACGAAGTACACGACTGAGAATATTGCCAGCTCCAGTAGCGATCCCTACGAGGCCGCCGGTTTGCGCCAAGTCGCCATCGCACGATCGCCACACATTCTACCCAAGTAGCCGCCATGCTCTGTCAATGATGCATACCAGACAAGCAAAAGTCGTCTTTTTGATCTGCTTCATTAGCTTAGCAACTTTGTGGGCCTGTCGTTTTCCCAAGCTATGCATCTCAGCAGGTGCCAGTGATGACAATCTCCATCATCACGGCCCCGTCCAGCACGACCTAGATCTCTCGCGTGCGGACGCACCTTTCATTGCTTGGCCGCTAGCTCGCGTCTGCCGAGAGACAGACTGGGTTCCTAATCTAATCTTTGTCTGCGATAACAATTCCGGAGGGATTGGAAACATTCGAAACTACATACTCACATGCTTACGCTACGCCATCAGCGCAGGGGCATCTGGACTGCTCATGCCCAGTATCCAGACTAGATCTGAGGAGAATCTATCTCAGCTGTTTAAAGGCCGAAAACCATTGAGCTACTTTTTTGATGAAGCCCATTTTCGACAGAGTTTGTCGAGAGCCTGCCCACAACTATCCATCTACGATGATAAGAAAGATGTCCCAGGCCACTTGGATCCGATTCGAGTAGAGTCTATTACCCCAAACCATTATGGGATTAGGGGTGGCTGCGACCGACGAGACCTGAACCGCCACGTCGATCTTTTTGGGCCTCGATTTCGAATGTGGTTTGAGGAATCCGCGTCTAGGCCTGTACACCAGTATGGTGCGAACTCATCAGAGCCTCGATTCATCCGTTTGAACTGGGGGGTGCAGTGGAATTACCCTGTCTACAGGGATGGACCAGAGTTCGTAGCCACATTTGGCAGCTTATTGAAGTTTCGAAAAGATATATTACAGCTTGGTGAGTTGATCGTAACGGCGGTGCGTGGACCTGGGGGTCTTTCGCATGCAGCCACCGATCCATCGACCGGCTATCTTGGTATTCATCTCCGAACTGAGAATGATGCGCTAAAAAGGTGGCCAAACTTCACCACTCAGACATCAGCTTACTTGGAAAAGGCATCTCAGTCCAGATTTCGAGTCGCATATCTAGCCACAGGCAATTTAACAGAAGCGGCGAGGTTCACAGCATTGGCTCTTTCAAATGAGCAAATACGCGTCTTCACCAAGCGAGACCTTGTTCAGAACTCTTCGAACGACCTCGAAACCTTGGACAACTTGACCTGGGATCAACAATCTCTAGTAGATTTCATTGTCTTGCTACAAAGCGATTACTTTCTTGGCGTTAGCCCTAGCTCTTTCAGCATGAATGTTGCTCTGAAGCGAAACCTAAAATATGACGGACTCTACACAAGGCCATGGAAGATTGGCGATCATGGAAACGATCGAAGTTGGCTTGTCGGAAATTACGATCAATATTGGAATGACTGGCTATTCATGTTTGACTCCTTATGGCCGTGAGAGAATCAACTGAACTCAGTATTGATACGACAATGAGACATTCAGCTCATCTTAACGCACCATGCAGTCCTCGTCAAAGTCTCTTCTATCTCCTGTCATGGCGTCTTCGTCGGCAATGACATCCCAGCCTGTTAGTGTAAGGCCCTTTCCACATCTGATAGCACTTGCAAATGCATGCTCCGTGCCTGATGCTTCCGTGAAACTGGGGTGATGGCCGCTCACATCGTCCGGACATGGAATGCCGAAGAAAGCATGTAATCCGGGAACTTCGTAAGTAACATTTCCCATGTCAGTGCTTGCACTCATCACCTCAGAAGCCTCATACTGAATGCACTCGCCATAGTAAACCAAATTCGCGACGTAAAGCTTGTTGAGTGTGTGATTGAGCCTTGTATCCAAATATGGCCTCTCCCTAGGTCGTTAACCATCTATTCTTTTGGAAAGACTCCGAAATTCCATACTCTTGTATGTTTTCTCACAACCTATAGCAAGAGCTGCACCCTTAAGGCAGTCGATAATGCGCCTTTGTAGTGATCGTGCACCTGCTGAAGTCGGACTTCTTGTAGCAAATTGTACTCGAGTATGAGCTAGTATAATATTTCCGACTTTCTGAGCAAATCATGAGCTCACACCACGAGTGAGTAGTATGTAAGAGACTCACGGGACTGTCTATGATGCAGGCATGTATTCTTTGGCTTGGGTACATCTGTTGTCTTAACATGGCAACGTTATTATACGAAGACACAAGGGCATCTAATGCATTGATGCTATCCCAGGGGTTTCCCCCCGCATGCGCAGGTTTACCAGTAAAGTCAGCCACGATAGCTGTCCTCGCGATGGTTCGCTGTCCTGCTGTACCGGTATTGCCCGGTCCATGCGCATTCTGCGGCCCAGGATGTGCCATGAGACATACATCAGCACTGTTATAAGCACCCTTGCATTTGCCGGCACCACCTACCTCCGCGGGAGTTCCCAAGAGGCGAACGTGGCCTGATGTATTAGTAGCCTCCAGAGCAGCGCAGAGAGACAAGTAAGCAACCACGCCAGAGACGGCAATCAAGTTATGGCCGCAGGCGTGCCCAATTCCGGGTAATGCGTCGTATTCAGCATTGAAGACAACTTCTCGACCTCCTTTTCCGTGCTTGAATGAAGCTTCAAAACTTGTAACAAGTCCATAGGCGTGTCGAGTAACTTGATGACCTTGTGTCTCCAGAAAAAAGCAGATGGTATCGTGCGCAATAAATTCTGCGTAGCAGAGCTCGGGGTTGTTGTAAATCTGCAGGGGGGTTTTGTTCAAATTTAGAATATTGCGTTCAAAGAAATGAATTTGAAAAGGAATGATTCACCTTCCTATTGACCTCCCATATGAGATTCAACAGTGTCGATGGGTTTGTCGATGTGATTCTTGATGAACAATTTGGTTGTCGCGTTGTCGTTAGCTTTCTGAAGACATGGTCTTGGGACCATAGTGGCGGTTAGGACCGCCATTGGGCAACACAGTGTTGTTAATTAGTCCTTCTCCGACAGTTCTCAAATATATTCTCATTGGCAAACATTTGACCAAATACAGTGATCATGGGGTGTTTCCTACAGTTCATAATCTGAGCTCAAGCAATCATTTTCTCTGGTGTTCGATGTCTTATGATTGGTAGCTGTTGGCTTAGAAGCTTTGCATCTCTTGCAAACCTGGCCACCGCAGAGCTGAACGCACGAACAGGTATAAGAAGAAAAGGCAAAGGCGCCAAGTGGGTTCACCGAACATGGCTTCCCACTACCTCCATCCTCGAGTGCCTCGAGTGCCCGATTGCCGAGTGCCGAACCTGAAAAAGGCACCTCGTCCCAGGAATTTGCCGAGTTACATATTGCCTCTTCATTTTGCTCTAATGACAATGTCTACTGGGTCAAGACACGGAAGAAGCGCACCACGATCTAAGAAAGGTGCCTAAGGAAACAGCCACAAATTATCCAAAGTTCAGTGTTGATCAAGGCTAACACATCTTCGCTGACAGGATGTTGGACCTGCCGAGAACATAAAGTCAAATGCGACGAGGGCGCACCTTGGTGTCAGAGATGTACGCGAGCCGGTCGTGGCTGCACGTACACAGCTCCCCATAAGCCTAAGCGAATTCCTAAGCCAGTAGCTCGAGTGCCCAGTGCTTCTTCTCCAACGGCACCCCAGCCTCATACACAAAACGAATTGTCTCCGGATGATTCTGAAGAAGACAACAGAATCATGAAATTTTATCAGGAACAATACCTCTCGTTCCTCACGACCACATCATCACAGTGGTCCTTCATTGCTGGCATAGTTTATCTGGGCAGGACCAGTTCTGCCGTCATGAACTTCATCATGGCGAATGTTCATTTCCAAGCCTCAGTGGTTGAGCACAGGATCGTGACAGATATCAAGCATTGGAGCACTATCAGACTGGCCTCCGGGATTCTGCCACTCTCGTCGGCTCGGGAGAGTATGAACCCCTTACCCTACTAGGAAACCTATTCCTCCTGGTGCAATTTGAGCTGCGTCATGCAGAGCAAGCCGAAGATATCAATCGTCATTTGCAAGGCGACCAGCTGATCCCGGGTCTAAACCCGAGCACCACACTGGGTTTAAGCCCCACGCTGGCCGATAACGCAGAAACATCGGTTCAGATCCGATATCAGAATGTGCTCAATAGACTTGGATTGTGAATGACTTACATGGATGCTATGAGCTCAACTTGGGATCTTGGCGGATCCGTCATGCAAAGATTCATGGTCGACTACCCTGGCGCCATAGATACCATTTTTG